TCGGTCAAGTGGCAGGTTTTAAACTGAATAAAAGGAAAACTAAGATAATGGTTAAAAACATGGAACAGGAATTGGTTGAAACATTGCAACAACAGATAGGTATAAAGGTACCCCTGCCCGTACGGGCCAGTCTTGCCAGACTCTAGGGTTGTGCGCCCATCTCACTCTATAGGCCGGGGGCCAGCGCTGTCCGGAGACACTTCCGGGTCACGTGGCCAGCGTGACAAAGCTGCATCTGGCGAGCCAGAGCCGCACACGGAACGCCGTTTACCTTCCTGCTGGTAAGCGGTCCCTATTTATCTACTTGCACCCGAGGGTGCTTTCGAACTACTAGGTTGGCAGGCGCTGGGACAGATAGGTATAGAAGTGGTTAAAAAAGTTAAATACTTAGGAATTTGGTTAACTCCTAAAAATATTGATCTGTTTCAAAATAATTATACACCAATGTGGAATAATGTTAAAAGGGATCTAGAGGTATGGGGAAGGTTGAAACTATCATTTTGGGGAAGGGTATCAGCAATAAATGGGACGCGGGTGGCGCTGTGGGTAAAAGCCTCAGCGCCTAGGGCTTGCTGATTGAAAGGTCGGTGGTTCGAATCCCCGCGGCGGGGTGCGCTCCCGTTGCTCGGTCTCAGCGCCTGCCAACCTAGCAGTTCGAAAGCACCCCCGGGTGCAAGTAGATAAATAGGGACCGCTTACTAGCGGGAAGGTAAAAGGCGTTTCCGTGTGCGGCTCTGGCTCGCCAGAGCAGCAATGTCACGCTGGCCACGTGACCCGGAAGTGTCTCCGGACAGCGCTGGCCCCCGGCCTCTTGAGTGAGATGGGCGCACAACCCCTAGAGTCTGTCAAGACTGGCCCGTACGGGCAGGGGTACCTTTACCTTTACCTTTTATCAGCAATAAAGATGAACGTGCTACCAAATATGTTATTTCTGTTTCAGTCAATTCCATAATCAAAGGGGCAGCAATATTTAAAGAGTGGCAGAAGATAATTTCAATATATATCTGGCAGGGTAAGAGGCCGATAATACAATATAAGTTATTAACAGATGCAAAGGAAAGAGGAGGCTTCGTCCTGCCAGACTTGAAATTATATTATGAAGCATCGTGCCTCTGTTGGTTGAAGGAGTGGATGAAATTGGAAAATACAGAATTGTTGGATTTAGCAGGCCATGATAATAGATTTGGTTGGAATGCATATTTATGGTATGGTAAAAAAAGGTCAATAAAGGATTTGGAAACCACATATTTCGAAGATCTCTTATTGAAATTTGGGATAGGTATAAAAACCTACTGGAACAAAAAACACCACATTGGTTGTCTCCATTAGAAATGATGTGTGTAAAAAAGGTCAATATGAGCGGGAAGTAGATAACATATGGGAAATTGGTAATTAGAGAAGGAGGAAAATGGAAATTGAAACCATATGAGGAAGTGAAAGAGTATGTTAATAATTGGTTACATTATCATCAGATTAATGAAGTATTTAAACAAGATATTAAAGAAAAGGGCTTTTGTGAAAAAGAATCGAGGTTTCAACAAGAAATATTGAATAATGATTTTAAAATTCTGTCCAAAATGTACCAATTACTGCTTGAATGGCACTTGAAAGAGAAGGAGGTAAAATCAGTTATGATTCATTGGGCAAAAGACTTTGGATATAATATACAGTTAAATGAATGGGTCAAATTATGGAAAGAGGGTCTGAGATTTACTGCATGCAATGCACTAAAAGAAAATGTCATGAAGATGATATACAGATGGTACATCACACCAGTAAAGTTAGCAAAATGTATATAGTTAGTAACAAATGTTGGAAATGTAAAGAAAAAAGGATGATTTTATCATATGTGGTGGGAATTTAAGAAGGTGAAATGCTTCTGGGAGATGATATATAATGAGTTGAAAAAAATGTTGAAATATACTTTTATTAAGAAACCAGAAGCATTTCTCTTGGGTATAGTTGGAAATGATATAAACAGGAAAGACTGTAAGCTTTTTTTATATGCAGTAACAGCAGCAAGAATATTATTGGCCCAAAAATGGAAGCAAGAAGAATTACCAACATTAGAAGAATGGAGGATGAAACTAATGGACTACGCAGAACTAGACAAGCTAACAGGAAGGATCCGAGACCGACGGGACCAGAGGTTTACCAAAGACTGGACTAAATTTATGGAATATTTGAAAAGTATCTGTGACGATCAGATTACGTTTGTAGGATTACAAGAAGTTCTGTGAGGAGTAATTTAAGAAATATTGTAAAAATGGAAAGGGAGAAATGATTTGTTAGAAAATGTAAAGGCAATATTAAGTTAAAAATTGCAGGAGAAATAATTAAGACGGAGGATTATTAGAGGTGCTGAAGGAAGTCCAAATAAGGATATGTGTATAATAATTTGTGTGGTATGTCTTTAAAGTTTTGTATGCTAAAAACTAATAAAAAAATTTAAAAAAAGAAAAGAAAAATGCAGGTCTTTCTCTGCCTCTTTTGACTGACTGCTCCCCTACCCACACGGACTGCTCATCTTGACTGTGGGAAGTCCTGTCCATGACAAATTCTAGGACACGGGGGCCATTTTATCTAAATTATATAATTAGGTTTTTGAACAATAGGTATTAATAATTGTATTATAAATTGGTATTGTTATAATGAGGCTATTATTGGATTGTAATTGCAAAGTAATAAAAATTATTATTAAAAGAAAAGAAATATCCCTGAACATATGAGAAAATAAAAACTGGGATACAGCAATGCTTGAGTGTCTCACCAAACACAGTAGGTCAATTAGAGGCATTAGAAAAAGACACACCTTCCAAAAATGGAATAAAACAAACACCATTAGATGTACTTCTAGATAAGTTTTTAAAGGTTCAAAAATAAAACAGTAATAACTTTTGGAAAAAAATAAGTAGTATAAAAGATCTGAAATAAAAAATTTCCTGGGTTTATGCCTTATGTGGCATGCTGATTGGCTATGATGAGCAGCCAATCAGGAAATGGTATAGCCTAAAGGGGAGGAGTTCTGGAATGCCTGACATCACAAGGGAGGTGGTTCTTAGCCAGTGGGAGGATGAAACAACCTTAAGAAGAAATTAAAGGAGAGAAAAGATTGTTCCATGACAACACCAAGGTATCCAAACAGAAATAAGTCTGATGGGTGGAATACTTTCCTTACAAGCTATGATATTTGCAGGGTCTCATTCCAGGGCCAAAAGGTCACTAAGAGGGAAAATGATAAGCAGCTTTATAAAACTTCAGATAGTTTTTCTCTTTTGAATACCAGAATCCAGGGTCATCCAATGAAACTGAGTGGTGGTATATTCTAGGGCTGTGTACAGGTGCCCTGCTCTGATTCATGGTCCCAGGTTGTAAATCCAGATCCAGATCATGATCCAGAACATGATCCAGAAAATACAGTTCTTGAAAAAACTCATTTACTAGCATATCAAGGGCTGCTAGATCAGATGGCTTTGAAACGGGACTAGACAATGTAGCCTTATGAGGCTTTGCCCTCGGGTGGGAAAAATATTGCGCCCGGGAAAGGGAAGTGGGAGTCAACAGACACTCAAGGAATAGTTTCAGAGAAAAAGCTTTTTATTTCTACCATCCATGAACTGGTAGAAGGAGCAAGTGTGATAGTTCACGAAAGCATGCACGAGTTCACAGTCATGTGCACAAACATATATACCCCTTTCCAGTTCCCTCCCCCTTTCTCCTCCTTCTTCCAGAGTCCTGCCCCATGAGTTCCTCTGAGCATGAACAGAAAGCTGTCTTGGGACTATTCCCAGGAAAGGGTGTGTGTGAGAGAAGCCAAGGGGTTTTCAGCATGTTCAGATGTGTTGCAACTTGAATGAGATAAGATTCGTTTCTCAGGCCTGAGTATTCTTGGCAATGACAGAGCCTATTCATTAGCCTTTAAAAGTAACATTTTGCCTATGCACAGCATCTTGTGAGAATAAGCAGAGACAAGCAGAGAAAAGCTGTTTTGGATTTTTAGAAGACAAAAGGAGTTTTGGACAGTTTTGAGGCCTGGGGTGATTATTGAAGCCTGGGGTGATTTCAGACAGGATTTGGGTATCCTGTCCCTTCATTCCCCCCTGTTTGTTTTTGGACAGCCGCCAGGCCTGTCCCAAATGGACCACTATCCTTTCTAGAGGCCACTGAGTCTTTCCCCAATTTTGGGAGCTGGGAGCTGCCTGCAACTGTTGCTAGGTCAGCTGTCACCACACCAAGCGTGTCAGGCATGCAGTCAGATTGCAGCCAAAAGATAAGTTCCTGGCGTGTACTCAGGTGTAACGGTTTGGGCTGGGAACGTACATGTCAAATTGTCACTGGCGCTCTTTGACACAAAGCCAGCCAGTAATTCGGTGAACCTAGCCTTTCGTGCACAGGGTTATTACCAAGTTGGTGCTGTGGTTCAATGGGGGCTTTAGTTAAGTTCTGGAGGCTCTGGGTGGAGCTCTACCAGGTGGCAAGATAATGAAAGGAGGCCGGGGCATGATTTCCCTGATTGAACAACCCACACAAATACCCTCCTCTGCAGGGGTGTTGTAAAGCTACCCAGGGCCTCCACAACCTTCTATAAAAATCAGTTATGCAAAAGGAAAGAAAGAAAATGAGAAAATGTCCTCTTTCAATCCATGCTGGATTCTTGAGCCGTGCAAAATGCCCAGGGGTGATGCAGGAAGGCAGGGTGGTCATCTCACGGGAGTCAGGCATCTGGTGGGCGTTGGGCGTCTTGGGTCCCTTCCTGGGTCCTCATCAGCTGGTGTTCGAGCAAAGGCACAAGGCGTTCTGGCAAAGGCTCACCTGTTAAGAGAAGAGATAACAAAGACGGCAGTGATTGCACAGAACAAATTGATAGATAACATTCACTTGTTTTTACAACAGTCCTCTTCTTTCTTTAAGCCACAGCATCAGATGTCAGGATGCGTCTTGGCAAAAACACACACAAAATGGCACACCTGGATAACAGCTTCCCTCTGCTTCTTTTTCAGGACCAACAGATGATCTCCAAAGTCTTGTTAGATTCAAGTGGATTTATATGCGACCAACTGAGACCGGATCTAGTACTCCATCTTCTCTGATGACCAGGAGGTAGTTATATAATTAAATGAATATATCTTCCATTAAGGGTGGGGAAGATGTGGCCCTGTGATGGAGGAAGTTGACACCCAGGAACATCTGAAGACCTCATAGGTCCCACATTATTATTAAATGGTGAACATCTTACTGGAGTCCTGTAAGCTAGATGTCCAGGATTTAAGGGAGAGGGATAGGATGCAAAATGAGAATGTGCTTTATTACCTAAAACAATTTTTAAAAATGCCTTGGAATCCATATGGAACATCCTTTTGGCTTAAAAACTGAGATTGATCCAGCAAAAGAAAATGGGAGATGATACTCACCTGGCAGGGGAGATACCATGATCACAAAAGAAAATGGGAGATGTTTCAGTTATATTGGATTCAACAACATCTTTATGTTGGATTGTATAATAAATAATAATAATAATAATAATAATAATAATAATAATAATACAGTGGTACCTTAAACCTGGGACGCGGGTGGCGCTGTGGGTAAAAGCCTCAGTGCCTAGGGCTTACCGATCGAAAGGTCGGCGGTTCGAATCCCCGCAGCAGGGTGCGCTCCCGTTGCTCGGTCCCAGCGCCTGCCAACCTAGCAGTTCGAAAGCACCTCCGGGTGCAAGTAGATAAATAGGGACCGCTTACTAGCGGGAAGGTAAACGGCGTTTCTGTGTGCGGCTCTGGCTCGCCAGAGCAGCGATGTCACGCTGGCCACGTGACCCGGAAGTGTCTCCGGACAGCGCTGGCCCCCGGCCTCTTGAGTGAGATGGGCGCACAACCCTAGAGTCCGTCAAGACTGGCCCGTACGGGCAGGGGTACCTTTACCTTTTTACCTTAAACCTGACCCTGTACTCCACCGGGAGCCAGTGCAGTTGGTAAAGCACTGAACGAATGTGATCCCATGGCAAGGATCCCGTAAGGAGGCTTGCTACGGCATTCTGAACCTGCTGGATTTTCTGGGTCAGCTTCAAGGGCAGCCTTAACCATGTAGAGCGAGTTACAATAATCAAGCCTGGAGGTGACCATTGCATGGATCACTGTGGCCAAGAAGGGTAAGGGACCAACTGCTTAATACGGCGGAGATGGAAAAATGCCACCTTTGCTGTGGCTGCAACCTGCACCTCCATGGAAAGGGAGACATCGAAGGTTACACCCAAGCTCTTGACAGAAGGCACTAGCACTAACTGAGCCCCCACAAGAGATGGGAGTTGGCTCCCCAACCCCATGTCGTCCCGACCCAGGAAGAGGACCTCTGTCTTCAAAGGATTTAACTTCACCCGGCTCCCACACAGCCATCCAGCCACAGCTTCCAAGCATCTGGTCAGTGTGTCTGGGGCTGAGTCAGGGCAGTCGTCCATCAACAGATAAAGCTGGGTGTTATCAGCATATTGATGACAACCCAACCCAATGCTCCGGAAAATCTGGGCAAGGGGGCGCATAAAGATATTGAAAAGCATCGGGGAAAGGATTGCGCCCTGTGGGACTCCACACACCAAGGAGTGCCGCGGCGACAACTCCCTCCCTAGTGCCACCCTCTGTCCCTGACCTGAGATAAAGGAGCGCAGTCATTGTCAGACTGTGCCCTGAATCCCCATGTCGGCAAGGCGGTGGTCCAAAAGTTCATGATCGACCATATCAAAGGCTGCTGACAGATCTAAGAGAATCAGCAGTCCCGACCTGACTGACTGTCACTGCTCTATACCTAACGTGCTCATAGTCTTAATCTCCATTTGTTGTTGTCTGATTCTTTGTTGTTGTTGCACAGAGAAGACTGAGAGGATGGGGAAGCCAGCGCCCGCAAAGCCGGCAAAGCCTGCAGCACCTGCAAAGGCTGCAGCTCCAGGAGGAGCAGAACAACCAGGAACTGGAGGTCTGTATACAGCACAGTCATATGGGATGAGGTGTCTCTTAAAGCAGAGGAATTCACGGGAAAGGGAAGTTGATGGGGAGACAGGTAGAAAGTGGAACCAGACATGTTGTGCCATAGAAACCCCAGGATTCAGCCCACTCTTGGCTGCTGGCTGTGGTGATCCTTTACTTTGTGCAGTCCAGAATGGCTCTGCCATTAGGCAGAATGAGGCAGTTGACTCAGGTAGCAGGTGCTGGGGTGGGTAGAGATATGAAGACCACACAAGCTGCACTGCACCTCCTCAGTTAGCCTGCTGCCCCATCAGCAGCATCAAAACAGAGCCCATGGCCAGCCCAGTAAAGCTTCTGTATGTGGAATTTGTCGGAGCCCCATACGACCCAGCTGTGATGGCTGCTCCTCCAACGTATCTTCGGAACCCATCCAGGCTCTCCTCTGATGGTGATTAATGACCCAAGCCTTTGAATGAGACTTCAGGTATGCACTCCATTGCACAGAGTACCCAGACAGCAGCAGAAGCAGCCAGAAATATATGCTACATTGCTACTTTATTTCTAACTACGCAAGACAGAAAAGAATATGTGTCTGCTCTCCGTGAGAGACAGAAAAAAAGGAAAGGTCAAAGAAACAGGAAACCAGTAACATCAACATCCGTCTCCCGTGAGACTTCCAACAGTCTGGAATGTCAACAGAGTCTTGTGACTCCAAGAACTGCACAGTGGCATAACTGAAACCTAACAGAATTATATGTACAGAGGGAGTATCTTCTCCAGGGGCATTGGGTATAGGAGGTTCAAGGGGCTTCAGCCATGTAAACATGTTGAGGCAGAGGTCCAAACAAGCTTCAATATTGAGGGGCTCACATCCCCAACCATCGATGGGCACCCTTTGTGTGCCCCACCCCTGCCCCTGCCCAGAAGACCAAGAGTCAAGAGGAGGCTGGGACAAGCGAGGGGATCTTCACCTTCTCTCCTCCCAAACTCCACCTGGCAGTCCAGGAGTCGAGAGGGGCCTGGGACAAGTGAGGACAATCTTTGCCTTCACTCCCCCCAGCCTCTGCCTGGTATCCTGGCAGCCGGGAAGGGGCTGGGACGAGCGAGGGCAAAAATTGCCTTCTTTGCTCTGCCTCCTCCTCCCTGCCCTATGCCACACTTATACAAATTTCCACATTTACAAAAAGAAAACACCCAAATACATTTATTCTTCAACTTCCTTTCCCCCCTTCCAGGGTTCCTTCTAATTATTAACCTCCTCCTACTGCATATTCTAATTACTCCATATAAGTTACTCCATTTAAGTATAGCTTACTCCATATAATTTATTTCCTACTTTCTCCCAACTTAATTATATACTGCTGAATTTACTTTAATTCTACTAGCATTTTTATTTGCTAGTTATCAGAAACGTTTCCTCCAGAACATCCTGCTGGATACGGATAATGGAGGATGACAGAGACTGCTCGCTCTGAGCAGCCTGATTGCCGTGAGGATCGAAGAATGGGGCTCCGGCAAAGCACCTTCTCAAAAAGAGCCTGAAGGAAAAGTTCAGGTTCTGAAGGGTCCAGTGGTGTCAAAATACGCTCTCTAGATTCTCCCAAACCTCCGTAGGTAGCTGAGAAAAATCCCAGATTGAGCTCAGACACACAGCACAATTGAAGACCCACAGCAAGCTGCTTCTTGTGCCTCTGAAGCAGTGACATCTCCAAACAAAGGAATTCGGACCAATTCGACAAGGCAATAAAAAGAATTTAAGGTAGTGTCAATAAAACAATTGGATCCATACTAGGGTGGCAAAGAAGAGGTCCCCCCCCCCCCAGACGCGGGTGTTGATCTGCATGTAAAAAATATACAGGGACTGAATTCAGAATGAGAATGAGAAGTACAGTCTAGTGATTATTTTTACAAGCATTCCAGGCGAAGAATTTCGATTAACTTGTGATTTCTCTAAAGCTCTGGATGCAGAATTTTGGTGACTTTATAAATATTTATGGCTATGGCTAAAGTAGGCAAGAAAACACCTCCAGGCCCAACCAAAACACCAAGTCAGAGAAAAGGTTTAATTGTAGAAGGGGACACAAAGTCTGATTTGACAAGAATTTCATTTGAAATGAGAAAAGAGATGGGGGAGGGTATACAGAGACTGGGACAGAAGGCTGATTTTAATGTGCATGCATTTCAAAACCTATCAGCAGAAATTACAGAACTGTCACATAAAACTTCAGAATTAGAGAAAAGGGTGCAGGTTTTAAAGCTGAAAACAACCAGCTTGGAGGAATCATCTAAGAAAGTACAAGGGGAGATAAGAGAAACAAAGAGGGAGCAAGAAAGAATGAGGGAGGACACTGAAGTAATAAAATGCTTTATGAACAGACTCTGGATGAGATCACAGTTTTGCAAGTACATCTAAAAGATCTGATTCTTAGTTTGAGATTTGCCAGAAGATACAGCGGTGGAATTAAGTGAAAGAATAATAAAAGAACTTGTGAATTTGATTGAAATGGATGAAGAAACTGTTAGAATGGCAGTGGATAAATCTTTTCATTTAAAATCAAGATATGCTAAAGCAAAAAATCTGTTGGGTGATTGTTTTTTAAAAAATTCAAAGAGATTTAAAGACAGAATAATACAGAAGCATTATCAGAAAAATCTCAGGGTGATGACCAGAGAATAATAATTTCGAAAGAAATCCTGATGGGACTGCTTCGGAAAGGAACAAATTACAAATATCTGACAGACACACCGTGATAAAACAAAATCGCTTTTCATTGGGAATACCCTGAGGGGGTCTCCTTTACATTTAAAGGGAGAAAGCAGAGATGTAGAGATTCCACAGAAGCAGATAAATTCTGGAGAAAAAATTAGCAGGAAAAGAATTAGCAGGAGAAAGAGCATTTGGTTTGGAGCCACAACATGAAGAAGAATCAACAGAGGGGGAGAAGACAGATAAATAAATAAAGGAAAAAAATGGCATTGATAATCTTAATTTGGAATGTAAATGAACTCAATAAGAAAACAAAAAGGGCAGGGATTGAACATGTGGTAAAAATAAATAAATTTGGACGTGATTTGCTTTCAGGAAATGTATACAGTGGTACCTCACAAGACGAACGCCTCGCAAGACGGAAAACCCGCTAGACGAAAGGGTTTTCCGTTTTGGAGGCGCTTCGCAAAACGAATTTCCCTATGGGCTTGCTTCGCAATACGACAGCCCATAGGGAAATCTCCGGGACAGCGGGGAAGCGCAGCGCGTCTTCCCCACTGTCCTCGGACCTCCTCCGAAGCCTGGCGGCAAGGCGGGGACACCTCCTCCCGCCGCCGCCGGGCTTCGGAACGATGCCCCGATGCCGGGCGGCGGGGCGGGAACCTCTCCCCCCGCTGCCTGGCATCGGGACGATGCCCCGATGCCGGGCGGCGGGCGGGAACCTCCCCCCCGCCGCCCGGCATCGGGACGGGAACCTCACACCCCGCCGCCCGGCATCGGGACGATGCCCCGATGCCGGGCGGCGGGGCGCGAAGCCTGGGCGCGCTGATCTCAGCGCGCGCAGGCTTCGGCATGCCGGCAACTCTCCGCAAGCAGCGGCAGCGCTGCCGCTGCTTGCGGAGAGGTCCGCGAAGCCTTGGCCGGACAGCTTTTGAAGGCAGGCGGGGGGGAGCGAAAGTCTTTGTCCCCCCTGCCTGCCTTTAAAAGCCCTCCCGGGAGAGCGGAGAAACGCGCTGCGTTTTTCCGCTCTCCCGGGAAGGCAGGCGTGGGGAGCAAAGACTTTTGCCCCCCGCTGGCCTTCAGAAGAGGTCCAGGACCTCTTCTGAAGGCTGGCGGGGGGCAAAAGTCTTTGTCCCCCCTGCCTGCCTTCCCAGGGGCTTTTAAATCGCCTCGGACAGCGGAGAACTCCTCCGCTGTCCCGGGGCGATTTTAAAATGCCGCCCGCCAGCATTTTAAGATCGCCCCGGACAGCGGAGAAGTCCTCCGCTGTCCTGGTGTTTTTTAAAATGCTGGGGGTGGGAAGAAAAGCCCTTGTCCCCCCCCCAGCCTTCAGAAGAGGTCGGGGACAGACTGTCCCCGGACCTGGTCTGAAGTCGGTTTCCCTAGGAACGCATTAATTGATTTTCAATGCATTCCTATGGGAAACCGTGCATCGCAAGACGAAAAACTCGCAAGAAGAAAAAACTTGCGGAACGAATTAATTTCGTCTTGCGAGGCACCACTGTATTGCGATGAAACAACAGAAGAATTCTGATCAATAAAAGGTTATTGAAATGACTTTGTAGCCTCTGACTGTACAAAGAAAACGACTAAACAACAACAACAAGGAAGAAAAGGGGGTAAGAGGTGGAGGGGGGAATGGTGAGTCAGGTGGGGTCGGGTGCCAATGTTTCACCTCAGATCGTATAAATCTTTCGCCTTTTGAAGCTTTTCTTTTGGGAATTATAGAGACAGGACTGCCTAAATTGTATAGAAATATATTTATGTATGCTACTACAGCAGGAAGAATGTTGTTGTTGTTGTTTAGTCGTTTAGTCGTGTCCGACTCTTCGTGACCCCATGGACCAGAGCACACCAGGCACCTCTGTCCTCCACTACCTCCCACAGTTTGGTCAAACTCATGCTGGTAACCTCGAAAACACTATCCAGCCATCTCGTCCTCTGTCGTCCCCTTCTCCTTGTGCCCTCCATCTTTCCCAACATCAGGGTCTTTTCCAGGGAGTCTTCTCTTCTCATGAGGTGGCCAAAGTATTGGAGCCTCAGCTTCACGATCTGTCCTTCCAGTGAGCACTCAGGGCTGATTTCCGTAAGAATGGATGTGTTTGATCTTCTTGCAGTCCATGGGACTCTCAAGAGTCTCCTCCAGCACCATAATTCAAAAGCATCAATTCTTCGGCGATCAGCCTTCTTTATGGTCCAGCTCTCACTTCCATACATCACTACTGGGAAAACCATGGCTTTAACTATACGGACCTTTGTTGGTAAGGTGACGTCTCTACTTCTCAAGATGCTGTCTAGGCCTGTCATTGCCCTTCTCCCAAGAAGCAGGCGTCTTTTAATTTTGTGGCTGCTGTCACCATCTGCAGTGATCATGGAGCCCAAGAAAGTAAAATCTTTCACTGCCTCCATTTCTTCCCCTTCTATTTGCCAGGAGGTGATGGGACCAGTGGCCATGATCTTCGTTTTTTTTTTATGTTGAGCTTCAGACCATATTTTGCGCTCTCCTCTTTCACCCTCATTAAAAGGTTCTTTAATTCCTCCTCACTTTCTGCCATCAAGGTTGTGTCATCTGCATATCTGAGGTTGTTGATATTTCTTCCGGCAATCTTAATTCCAGTTTGGGATTCATCCAGCCCAGCCTTTCGCATGATGTGTTCTGCATATAAATTCAATAAGCAGGGAGACAATATACAGCCTTGTTGTACTCCTTTCCCAATTGTTCCATATCCAGTTCTAACTGTAGCTTCTTGTCCCACATAGAGATTTCTCAGGAAACAACCCAGGTTCATGGTTCTTACATTCCAGGTTCCTATGCAATATTTTTCTTTACAGCATTGGACTTTCCTATCGCTTCCAGGCATATCCGCAACTGAGCGTCCTTTTGGCTTTGGCCCAGCCGCTTCATCAGCTCTGGATCTACTTGTACTTGCCCTCCACTCTTCCCCAGTAGCATGTTGGACGCCTTCCGACCTGAGGGGCTCATCTTCCAGCGTCATAACTTTTATATGCCTGTTGTCTTTGTCCATGGAGTTTTCTTGGCAAGGATACTGGAGTGGCTTGCCGGTTCCTCCTCCAGGTGGATCACGTTTGGTCAAAACTCTCCACTATGACCTGTTCATCTTGTGTGCCCTGCTCGGCGTAGTTCATAGCTTCTCTGAGTTCTTCAAGCCCCTTCGCCACGGCAATGCTACTTGCCCCAAAGTGGAAAGAAGCAGAAGTCTCAGGAAAGGAGAAATGGCTATAAAAACTTCTGGAATATATGTCAGCATTAAATGCCCATTTGCAGATAGTAAATTCAGTCCTTTACAGTAGAATGCAGAAGAAGCAACTGTGGTTGGAATAGTAACACCAAAGGTTTTATTAATAAAGCAAATAACAAAACAACAAGAGGACACTCACATCAATCTTCTTCAGCAGAGGAGCAGAGAGAGAGAGAGAGCAGAGAGAGGGAGGAGACATTTAAATAGTTCCCATACTCCTACATCAATTAAGTAATTAAAGGCAACCTGCAATATTGTGCAATGTGAGAATGAGATATTACAATACTAACAATATGGAGAAATGGCAAAAGTTACGGGAAGAATAAGAAATCTAGATAAGAAACTTTTTATAAAGGAATGGAAATGGTTTATTGAATATTTACAGATAAGTCGAAAACAGTAAAAACATTAGGTGGATTATGGTAATAATGTGCAGTTTCATAAGAATATATACAGGTATTTAAAGTAGATAATTAAATAAACAAGTTAAATAAATTGCAATATGCAGATGATATTAAAAATAAATTTAAAGAACCACAGAAAGAGAGGGGAGGAAGTCAAACTTTGATGTGTTAGAATGATTGTAAAACTAATGAAATCTATAAATTGGAAAAGTATAGATTAAAACTTTTTTAAAAAGAAAAAAGATGGAAAAGTTTCATCACGCAGCAAGGCATCTCGCCTTGCTTTCTCCATCTGCTTAGCATCCCAAGGACCCACCTCCTGAACCACTGAATGTCTCTGGCTAATGGCTACCACAGTGTATGAAAATCCTTTTTTCTGGGGTGGCAATGATATGTTGGCTACTGATGGCTAAAGCAGAATTGTCTTTCTTCAAGTATCTGGTTTTCAGAAATTTGTAAACTTCGTGAAATCTCCCATGGGTGAATACATTGTCGTATTTATGATGATCCTCTTTACTGCGTTGACACTGCTGCTTTTCCTGCTATGTAAGTACATAATTGGCGTACTTTGCTACTACTGTCCTGGGCTTTGCTTGAATGCCAATAGCATTTCCAAAAAGAGATGGTAGGATCCAGTTTCCATTTACCCCATTTACCCGCTCTCTTTGATATCAGGGAGGGAGTTACAGCTGTCACCCATTGAAAGCAATGACACTGTTTTGTTCTCCCTGAATAAGTGAGTTCCAGCACTTGGAACAGAAGCACAGGCTAACACAAGTCCCTGGGACACCCTGGGCAATTCCCTTTCCCAGTTGCCATTCTCTGCTCCTTTCCCAACTAATCCTCATTTGCTTTGGAAGAGCCCCCATTCCTGATCCTCGCCAGCCTGACCTCTGCTAGGGCTCCAGTCCTTTGAAGGAAAGTGCTTGGGGGAAAAACAGGCTGCAGAGGATAAGGCCATGGCCAAAGTGGGTGGGTCCAGAGCCTACCTAAATATCGAGATATATGCAGGGCCTTTTGAGGCCGGAATTCATCAGGACTCAGTTCCAGCCCCTCTCAGGTGGGCGCCATTGCCATTTTAAGAGAAGAAGGGAGGCATTCATGCTGAGTTCCAGCACATCTTTTTGTAGAAAAATAGCACTGGATAGATGAGCCCTTGACCTATTTGCAGACCTAATTCATTTTTAAAGGGCACTCCAAAGTAAGCAAATCACCTGAGAGCAGTATATGTGAAAAGGATCTAGGAGTCTTGGTTGACCACAAACTTGACATGAGCCAACAGTGTGACGCGGCAGCTAAAAAAGCCAATGCAATTCTGGGCTGCATCAATAGGAGTATAGCATCTAGATCAAGGGAAGTAATAGTGCCACTGTATTCTGCTCTGGTCAGACCTCACCTGGAGTACTGTGTCCAGTTCTGGGCACCACAGTTCAAGAAGGACACTGACAAACTGGAACGTGTCCAGAGGAGGGCAACCAAAATGGTCAAAGGCCTGGAAACGATGCCTTATGAGGAACGGCTAAGGGAGCTGGGCATGTTTAGCCTGGAGAAGAGGAGGTTAAGGGGTGATATGATAGCCATGTTCAAATATATAAAAGGATGTCACATAGAGGAGGGAGAAAGGTTGTTTTCTGCTGCTCCAGAGAAGCGGACACGGAGCAATGGATCCAAACTACAAGAAAGAAGATTCCACCTAAACATTAGGAAGAACTTCCTGACAGTAAGAGCTGTTTGACAGTGGAATTTGCTGCCAAGGAGTGTGGTGGAGTCTCCTTCTTTGGAGGTCTTTAAGCAGAGGCTTGACAACCATATGTCAGGAGTGCTCTGATGGTGTTTCCTGCTTGGCAGGGGGTTGGACTCGATGGCCCTTGTGGTCTCTTCCAACTCTATGATTCTATGATTCTATGAATCAAATGATCCAAGAATTTGCATATTTTAAGCATGTGGCAGAGCATGAGGCAGCCTGGCAAATGCAAGACTGTAGGACAAAGAGGACAGGTCTATCTAGACAACCAAAAAGCTAAAGCTCTCAAAGGAAGGCCAAACCATCTGATGACAGAAGTAACAGGCCAAATTGAAACAGCAGCTGCCCTGCTGGTCTGAAGTCCTACCAAGAGCTGAGAGCAGGAAATATTAATAGAAGTCATATTCATGGTTTTGTTGATTTTATTTCTTATCTGCGTTACAAGTCAGCAATTTAAATTCAATATTAAAAGCAGTTTGAAACCAAGTATCCCCTCCCCCAGATAGTCAGACAATTTAATCATTTCTTTTCTGCCTACTTCATCCTTAGATCAAAAGGAACTTAAAAAAAGAGCAGAGTTTCAAATGGCAATTGATATGATTCGGACCTTTGTTGTTGGGCTTGATTCAATCCATGAAGACAAGGATGGTAAGCATTTTTTTATGCACATCCTCACTTTTGCTAGATCCTGATTAATTTAAACAGGCTTCAATTCCTCTAGTTCACTTTGGGATTCATATTGTGTAAGCATCACCCAATAGTTTATCACTGTTTCATTGCTCAGCAGGAAGAAAAGCAGATGGTTGTGATTTTCCCACTAGAAATGCTGTCCTCCTCCCATCAAACTGTAATTCACAATGTTTGTGCTATTGCAAGATTTGTGCTACTGCAAGATTTTAGCACTAGCACAAGGGAACTTTGCCCCCACTTCTCCCTGCATGCCATCACCAAAGCTGCTCTGCAGGGTGGGGGAAACTTCACAACAGATTGGAGGGAAAGGAAGGGAACATTAGAGATACTTCATGAGCCACTTATAATATGAGAATAGGATAGTGGATTGCATGGGTCTTTGGTCTGATCCAGCTGCAGGGGTCTTCTGAGGCTTTTCATTGGTGATCTCAGCCACAGAGAATCAAGTCTGTCCTCATATTCATAAGAACCCCATTCTGGAGCTCTGCTTCTTGTTTCAAGCTAGAGATTTTGAAAAATGTTTGAAAATAGTTTCTTAATATTTGCAGATTGTTATTTCAGATACTCTTTTGCCTTGAACTATTTCAAATCTTTTAGACTTCGGAATACTTGCTGTGGCTCAAAACAAATCAGAGGAAATGCGGCATATTGCCAACAAAAATGATGAACTGCAAAAAGAAATTGGTAAGATACCTTACAATGCTGAAGAATTGTAGTACAGTGGGAACATGCCCTGATTCTGCCCCAGCTGAAAGCCCCTCCTGTAGCTGAAAACTCTTAGAGCCAGAGCAGAGAGCTGCCCTCCTTTGCATCCAGCCACCCTAGGGAAACAGAGATATTCAGTTCAACTCTCCTGACCTTTTGAATTGATTTAGTTCTATTGGGGGGAAAGAAAAGACTTCGTCATTCGTTGCTATAATAGAGACAATCAAAACAGGTCAGCTAAAAGATCTGTCCTTTATTATATTCACCCATGAGAGCCCCGCCTCTGCAGAGACAATTAAAAGAGGTCAACTGAAAGGGCACTCAGGGCCAATTGTGTCCATGGCCCAAGCCATGGGTGGTTGCGCTCTTCTTATGGCACTCCCTCCCACCAGATGTCAAGGGGGGGAAAGAACCATCTTACTCGCAGAAGACATCTGAAGACAGCCCTGTTCAGGCAAGTTTTAAATGGTTGGTGTTCAATTGTGTTTTAATTTTTTGGAATTCACCCAGAGTGGTTGGGGGCAACCCAGTGAGATGGGCAGCATATTACCAACAACAACAACAACAACAACAACAACAACAACAACAGGCAGCATATTATTATTATTATTATTATTATTATTATTATTATTATTATTATGTTCCAGAGATCAGCCAAAGCTCAGCAGGAGCACCAGGCAGATTAGCTGGAATATCCCCCAGAGCCATTTGGAAGCCCACTAGATCCATCCTGTCAGCTCAGGCAGGGAGACTGCTTGGCAGCAAACCAGGTGGTAAACCAGCAGAATCCCTCATCAGTCCCAGTTGCCCAATGCCAGCAACACACACACTAGATTCCCGCCCCCTCTGCAACTGAACAGAGAGCCTGTAGAGAGAAAGAGAATTTTGATAAACCACAGCTACTCCCCCTCTCCATCCTTCAAGTCTGCCCTGATTCTGCCCTGAGTATCCAGGTGGAAAGAAGTAGGTGAGGTTCTTGACTGCACTCCCTGTTCCAGCTATGCCCACCCAGGTATTTACTGCAGCATCAACATGGGTTGAAGAGTTAATGTTTTTCTTGTTTTAAGATTTCTGAGCTTCCTAGATGAATATATGTTACCATGCGGCGACAGAATTGAATTTAACAAAAATAATTGAAATCTGCACAGGCATACAAGGTGGTTCCCATTAAATTCCCTATCTTGAATTTGAATATGAGGCTGAAATTGAATTCCCTATCTTGTTTTCTTTTTCTCTTGTTCCTCCATATCTGGCTTGACTCAAAGACCTCCTTATTGGTAACTTGAATGACGGTTGGATTATATATCAAAGGACAATGTATTTGCTTTCTCGTGAACAAGACTCATGGGCAGATTCCAAAAAAAAATGTGAGAGGGAAGGTGCCCAGCTCCTTTCTATGGAAACAAGGGAAGAACAGGTGAGCATCAAAGCTAAGTATAGGAAAGGTAGGGGATCTTCTGGAGCCAAAGGGCTCCTATCATCACTATCCATTTAGGAAGGTTACATCTACTTGTACGCAGCCAAGACAGCAATTCCATCAGTCAAGCCAAGGGGTGGGAGGGGCAGGGAGAGCTGCTACCATCTGGGACTCAATAAGGTTTCTTGGAGCTGCTGAGCTCTAATAGAATGAAAATGGCAGTCAGGATGGAGATCGAGGAGGAGGAGGAGGAGGAGGTGTAGATACTACAGAGGCATCTATCTCTTGGATTCTCTGTAAATTCTTCCTCTGCTCTTTGAGATGTATTGAGTGCTTAGAAAAAAATGGCTTCCCTCACCACACTAACCTTCTAGCAGGAGAGTATCATGGAGATGACTCTAGAGGAGCTTGGAAGGTATATCCTTTTCCCAGCCCTTTAGCTCTGGCACAGGGGCTACTGGGGTGCTGCAAGGCACAGACATGTGTGAGATCCCATCATCATGCCATCAAGCATACCACAACTGGACTGATTCCAGTGTCTCTGGAACCAACCATCAAACATGGATGCAGAAATTGGAGTATTTGACACACAGGTCACTGTCCTGCTAGGTGGTTCCAAGACCAACTGTTCTATGGCACCGTCATTTACAGTATCTGGAAATTATAACTGTGTCATGACTGGAAGACATATGTAGCCAGTCTCGGTGAGGGCAGGTGAAGTTCCCCTTCACTACAATATTTCCTCTTTGGGATGCTTCCTTGATTCCATCACCATCTTCTTCGTCATTCATCATCATCATCATCATCATCATCATCATCATCATCACCACCATCAGCATCATAATTTTGATCAGGGGGACAATACCACAACCACTATACGAAATTATAATTGGAGATGGGAATACAATGTATAGTTTTGATCACTTTCCCCCCAAAATTTGGATTGGGTCTTCAAATGTGATACCTTCTCCTTTCAAAATGTGTTTGTTTTATGCCTGTTGAATTTCTGTAAAGGGCTATAGTCTCCCAGAGAAAGGGACATTGTCTTAAAATATTTTATTTGTTCTTCCTCAACACCCCTACCCTAGTATTTTATAAACAGGGAAGTACAAAAGCGCAACAAGTTTTATTGGTTTGGAGTCTTTAAAGACTCGGCAACAAAGAAATGGAGATGGCTGGTAGGAATAGAGGCTATAATCACGTAAGTTTCTGCAGAAACATTTGTTAATGGCATGCATTCCAAGAAGTTGCAGATTCTGTTTACGTAATTGACCCTTTCCCTCTCCAAATATATTTTGCCATGCACTTTTCTCTACTACCAAAGACCTACATATGTACTCCTCCACATCATTGCCGAGATGAGCGGCTGCTGCTTCTCACTAGGTTGAAGAGGCAGGAAGGCTACTCTTCCTGCTTCTCTAACCTAATGAATGTGGTAATTCGGAAGAGGATGAAGGCATGCTTTTAAATGGTTTGTGCTGATTAGTTCAGCTTCAAAAGGACTTGCAGGAACCTAAAGCTGAGCAACACTGCCAGCTGGCAGTTTAAGATACTTCATGGTTCCCTTTAAGTATCTAACAACTCTTTTCAGCTTGTGTTGATGCATTGATAAGGTCAGAGAAGATCTCGCTCATCCACAGTTTGGTAGTAGAACAGGTAGTCCAGATTAACAGAGGGTCACCTTCTATTTGTGCAATGTCTCCTGGTATAAAATCCATTGACATTCATCTCTATTGATGCACCCAATACCAACCACTAATCCTTTTTGACAAAGGTATTGAGTAAACTTTACAAACGGGCCGTGGGGTTGTATAATACTAGCTGGGAAATTAAACCCTGTATGCCAGCGGTTCCCAGTTAGCTAAGTACTGCAGACCCCTTCGTTTTCAAAAGCCACACCGTACCTTTGAACATTTTGATATCTCTGTAGCAGTTTTTGTTATGTGAATGACATGATGGAGCCCCTGGGTGGGTGGTCCGTGGACCACCAATTGGGAACCACTGCTGTTTTTGATCTTAGACTTGATCAAAGGGCAAATCTCATAGAATCATAGAATCATAGAGTTGGAATAGACCACAAGGGCCATCGAGTCCAACCCCCTGCCAAGCAGGAAACACCATCAGAGCACTCCTGACATATGGTTGTCAAGCCTCTGCTTAAAGACCTCCAAAGAATTAGACTCCGCCACACTCCTTGGCAGCAAATTCCACTATCGAACAGCTCTTACTGTCAGGAAGTTCTTCCTAAGGTTTAGGTAGAATCTTCTTTCTTGTAGTTTGGATCCATTGCTCCGTGTCCGCTTCTCCAGAGCAGCAGAAAACAACCTTTCCCCCTCCTCTATATGACATTGTAATGAGTATGGGGTTGCTCGTGCGTAAGCTGCCGCCTCTCCAGGCTAAATTGCCTTGTTAAACCTTTCTGTCTGGACATCCCTTCTCTTCGTGGCTGCCTCAGTCACTAGCAGAATCTGTCAGTGGGCGTTTCTTAAACCCTTTCCAACATAAAAGTTGTTTGACGCCCAGTCTCCTCCTACTCTCCCTGCGTGGAAGGCTTCTGCGCAGGGAGGGCGTGGGTAGCGGAGGACCTGTGCTCTCCCCGCTGGTGTCCAGTGAAGAGTCCTGGAGCCCTCTCTCCGATTCCCCCATCTGCCCCCCTTTATCCCTGGTGTTGCGCTGATTTGCTTCCCCCTCTGCTGAGCTGCCTCTCTCCCTGCTGGGCCCTTCTCCAGCATCATTTGAGAGCCTTCCCTCCGCCTCTAGCTCCGATGTCAGTTCCCTGACAGACATCCTTTTATATATTTGAACATGGCTATCATATCACCCCTTAACCTCCTCTTCTCCAGGCTAAACATGCCCAGCTCCCTTAGCCGTTCCTCATAAGGCATCGTTTCCAGGCCTTTGACCATTTTGGTTGCCCTCCTCTGGACACGTTCCAGTTTGTCAGTGTCCTTCTTGAACTGTGGTGCCCAGAACTGGACACAGTACTCCAGGTGAGGTCTGACCAGAGCAGAATACAGTGGCACTATTACTTCCCTTGATCTAGATGCTATACTCCTATTGATGCAGCCCAGAATTGCATTGGCTTTTTTAGCTGCCGCGTCACACTGTTGGCTCATGTCAAGTTTGTGGTCAACCAAGACTCCTAGATCCTTTTCACATGTACTGCTCTCAAGCCAGGTGTCCCCCATCTTGTATTTGTGCCTCTCATTTCTTTTGCCCAAGTGCAATACTTTACATTTCTCCCTGTTAAAGTTCATCTTGTTTGTTTTGGCCCAGTTCTCTAATCTGTCAAGGTCGTTTTGAAGTGTGATCCTGTCCTCTGGGGTGTTAGCCACCCCTCCCAGTTTGGTGCCATCTGCATATTTGATCAGGATGCCCTTGAGTCCATCATCCAAGTCGTTGATAAAGATGTTGAATAAGACCGGGCCCAAGACAGAACCCTGTGGCACCCCACTAGTCACTCTTCTCCAGGATGAAGAGGAACCATTGATGAGCACCCTTTCGGTTCGGTCAGTCAGCCAGTTACAAATCCACTGAGTGGTAGCATAGTCAAGACCGCATTTTACCAGCTTCTTTACAAGAATATCATGGGGCACCTTGTCGAATGCCTTGCTGAAATCAAGGTAGGCTACATCCACTGCGTTCCCTTCATCTTACCAGGCTTGTAATTCTGTCAAAAAACGAGATCAGGTTAGTCTGACATGACTTATTTTTCAGAAATCCATGCTGACTATTGTTGATCACAGCATTCCTTCCTAGGTGCTCACAGACTGCTTGCTTAATGATCTGCTCCAGAATCTTCCCTGGTATTGATGTCAGACTGACTGGGTCTTAATTATTTGGGTCCTCTCTTTTCCCCTTTTTGAAAATAGGGACAACATTTGCCCTCCTCCAGTCTGCCGGGACTTCGCCTGTTCTCCAGGAATTCTCAAAGATGACTGCCAGTGGTTCTGAGATCACATCTGCCAGTTCTTTTAATACTCTTGGATGCAGTTCATCTGGCCCTGGAGACTTGAATACATCTAAACTAGCCAAGTATTCTTGTACTATCTCCTTAGTTATTCTGGGCTGTGTTTCCTCTGCTGAATCATTTGCTCCAAATTCTTCAGGTCGGGCACTGTTTTCTTTATCGGAGAAGACTGAGGCAAAGAAGGCATTGAGGAATTCAGCCCTTACTGTGTCCCCTGTTTGCATTTCACCATCTTCTCCTCTGAGTGACCCCACTGTTTCTTTGTTCTTCCTTTTGCTACGGACATACCCATAAAAGCCTTTTTTGTTGCTTTTAACCTCTCTAGCAAGCCTGAGTTCATTCTGTGCTTTAACTTTTCTACATGTGCTGGCTATTTGTTTTAATTCCTCTTTGGTGGTTTCCCACCTTTTCCATTTTTTGTACACATCCTTTTTTAATCTTAACTCAGTTACAAGTTCTTTAGATAGCCACCCTGGCTTCTTTAGGCACTTTCCATGTTTCCGTCTCATTGGTATTGCCTGAAGTTGTGCTTTTACTATCTCCCTCTTAACAAACTCCCAGCCATCATGAACTCCCTTTCCTTTTAGTATTACTGTCCATGGGATCTCACCCAGCACTTCCCTAAGTTTTATGAAGTCGGCTTTCTTAAAGTCAAGAAATTGAGTCCTAGTATGCTTGGCTACTCCTTTCCGCTGTATAGTAAACTTCAGAAGAGCATGATCACTCGCGCCTAATGATCCTTCCACTTCTACCCCACTAACCAGGTCATCAACATTGGTTAGGACCAGATCTAAAATGGCTGTTCCTCTTGTTGCTTCTCCCACTTTCTGGACAATGAAGTTGTCTGCAAGGCCAGTGAGGAATCTGTTTGACCTTATGCTCTTGCCTGAGTTTGACATCCAACAAATATCTGGGTAATTGAAGTCCCCCATTACTACCATCTCCCTTCCTTTTGCATACTTGGCCATCTGTTCCAGGAAGGCATCATCTATGTCCTCCGTTTGGCTTGGGGATCTATATAAACTCCCACAATGAGGTCTCTGTTATTCTTCTCTCCCTTAATTTTGACCCAAATGCTCTCACCCAAACATCTCATGGGAGTAAAAAACAACAACCACCTACTACACCATTACTAGTAATATCAATTTAATAGATTCAGAGAGAGCTAAAAATGAGGGAGTTATAGAATACATTTATTACAGAATTTTAGTGCTGTGTAGTGGGATTTGATTCAGTACACAATGGACACTGGAGAATGCAAGTGACAATAAGAGTGAGGCTAGGGCAGGGGTCAGCAACCCGCGGCTCCGGAGCCGCATGTGGCTCTTTTACACCTTTGCCGCGGCTCCGGGGCGGATACTAGCGAGGGGAGGAGGCGCATTGTGTGCCCTGACACTCCCCACTCTTTTAAATGTCGCAGTGGTTTTGCGGCTCCCAGTTTTTTCTTCTTCGGTCCAAGTGGCTCTTTTTGTCTTAAAGGTTGCAGAGCCCTGGGCTAGGGCGATACCTTTGTCAACTATGGGTAATTGATTAAAGTAAACTTAGAACCATCATGTTAGATTTAGATAAGATATATATGTGAGAGATATGTCATTTCAATCAACCCTATAATGGCTTTGTGGTTATAGATTTTATTTTGTAATTCATTTGAGGACATAACCATTTTTGTTTCTGTATAGTGTCACTGCTATCCTCATTCATGGGGTGGGTGATGGATGTGAGATGAGGTGGATGAAGACGGATGCAAATCTAACAAGGTTTTAATATGCTCAGAACAATCACTACTGTGCTAACTCTGCTATGAGAGAGTAAGGATCTCTCAACACCCACAACTGTCCAGAGCAGATCTGAGGCGGATGTGGGTGCATATGGAAAGGAGAGAGGGACAGTTCTGTTGCAGAAATGGAAATCCTGGCAATAGCAGAAGTACTGCATTGGATACTGCCTAAACTAAATTGACTGAAAGTTCTTGTGTGTACCTCTGAGCCTTTCAAAGTGACAGCCTCACTTTTTGTAGTTTCCTATGAGAAATCAGTTCATGTGAAAAGAAAAGAGACAGTCTTGACCCACAGTTGTTGTTGTTGTCCTTACATGGTTAGAATTCTAAAATCTGGGGAGAAATATCCATCCCAATTGTGGGTGGATGTTAAGAGAGAAAGAGCTGGGCATCTTTTTAATGGTAGAAGGCACAGGGAGCGCGTGAGGAAGTAGACATCCATTCTTGATTGATCAGTGCTGCTCTTTTCTTTTCAGGTACTGGAAACCAGATGAGCCTAAAAACGAAGACAGAAACCATTGTGCTGCAATGGGCCTTGATTGTGATAAGGATTGCTGGATAGCATTACACTGTGAGCAACGCTTAGGGTACATTTGTAAGAAGGTGCCTAGTGATGCTTGGCTCTAAGAAGACACTTTAAGATGAACGAAACTGGATCTCACGATCACTACACAAAAACAAAACCAGGAGATTAAACAAAACCTCACTGTTTTAATGCACAATCCACACTCTGCCATCTAGATTATATGACTCTTTGGCATCAGCACTCAAAAACACCTTGAAAAGAAATTATTCTGCAAACTCAAATGTAGATGGCTACAAAAATAAAGAATGGAAGCATCCAGTCATAGCCTGTTTTCTGTTTAATGTATTTATTTGCAATGCATACCAATATTTGTTTCCTTACTCTGTGTGTTTGATGCCCCATTGCCCCTTCTGATTTCCATGGTTGCTACCTTACAAGGCACATAAGGACAACCATGCATGCCAGGCAATGAGAATGGGGGCCACCCAGCGTTTGGTGTCCCCTTCTAGCAGACTAATCACAAATACAATTTTGGCTTTATCACTGGGAAATTCCAGTGCCCTTATTCTCATATAGGGCTAATATTGGGCTACAAACACTGTGAACTGCCCTTCACACTGTGAACTGTGAACACATTGAACTGCTCTTGATTTCATCAGAACTTGGCAGGGGGCAAGACTTGGGCCCACACCAGTGTGGGCCCAGTACTGGCAGCATGTGCTGCTCCTTACATGGCATTCATGGCCGTAGGGATGCCAACTTGAATAAAGTTTTGGGGGTGGAACAGGTAAGCTCCCCCCTGCATAATCAATCACAAGACAGTGCACACACATCATTTGAATGGCAATGCCCATGAACTTGAGGGAGGCGGCCCCCTAAAATATTTTATTGGGGACTCTACCTCTAGGAGTTGGCTGCTATGCACTGTGGCCATCAACTAAGTTAAGTGGTTGTGGTTGCTTCAATCTGTCCTGTATACCCAGCCAATGAGAACTGATATTTTAATCTTTACTGTCGGGGAATGAACTGAACAGGAAGACTCGGAAGTGCCCACTCAGTCTGTTCGGCTCCTCTCAGAAGAGGAGGGAGAGTGGGAAGGTTCGCCACCTTGTCTCCAACAGTTTCAAGAGGAGAAGAAGGCAGAACTGAATTATAGCTGAAGGTAGTGGTGGAGGAGGGGGGAGTGAGAGAGCAGACTGCAGAGATCTCCCTGGTAAGTTTGGGAGATTCTCCTTCTCCAAGGGCTCATCACTCACTCTGCATTCAGGAACAGAGAATGCAGAGAAGTGTGATTCCCGGGAGTTTCTGTAAGTACTCAGGATGTTGTTGGGGATGGAAGAGGTGATCTTCAGAGTAGGCAACATCTCCTTTTTGTGGAGACCTGGATTCTTTGTCTTGCAACCAGATGACTGAATAAAAAACATAAATATAAACTTGCTTGTTCTTCTTGTCTTTGATGCTACCAGGAGAGGAGAGGGTTCTCCACTCCTGACATTTATTGACAAAAAGATATCATCTTGGTGGTATGTATGATACTTGTGTCTTGTGCCATAGATCCTTGTTCCTAACTCTCAAAGAGGAGGTTCGTGGAGGTGTTTCATGAGAGAAGTTCTGAAGCCGGCTTTCAGAACTTCTGTTGGGATTCCATCCTGTCATGTTTCTATACCACATGCTTGATAGTTAGACTCATATAATCATAGGATTGTAGAGTTGGAAGGGACTCAGAGGGTCATCTAGTCCAGTGTTTCCCAACCTTGTGCCTCCAGCTGTTTTTGGCCTACAATTCCCATCATCCCTTGCCACTGGACTTGCTAGTCAGGGATGATGGGAGTTGTAGGCCAAAAACATCTGGAGGCACAAGGTGGGAAACACTGATCTAGTCCAACCCTCTGCAATGCAGGAATCTCAAACTGAAGCCTCCATGACAGATTGCCATCTAACCTCTGCTTAAAAAGCTCCATTAAAGGAGTCCACAACCTCCCGAGGGAGACTTTTCCATTGTCGAACTGCTCTTAGTGTCAGAATGTTATTTCATGTAACTTGAAACCATGGGTTTGTGTCCTTCCCTCTGGAAGTGGTCTCACCTTCCATGTGACAACCCTGGAGGTTTTTGAAGATGGCAATCTTATCTCCTCTTTCCAATACTAAATATTCCCAATTCCCTCTGTCAGTCCTCATAAGGCATGATTTCCCGCCCCCAGGTCATCTTGGTTGCCCTCCTCTGCGCACCTTCCAGCTTGTCAACATCCTTCTTAAATTGTGGTGCCCAAAATGGGACACAGCACTCCAGGTGTGGTCTGACCTAGGCAAAGTAGAGTGGTACTATTACTGCCCTTGAATGGGACACTAGACTTCTGTTGATGCAGCCTAGAAGAGCATTAGTTCCCCGTCCCCCTGCTGCATCACAGTCTTGACTCATGGTAAGCTTGTGGTCTCCTTAGACCCCTAGATCCTAGTAGCCATTTTATTTGTTTTCTTATTATTAAATTTCTATAACACGCTTCACTCAAAGCTCACTGTGTGATAGCTTGCATTTTTGAGGTACAGAACATTTCTTACCTATTGATTCAAGTAGAAGGTTCTGGTATTTTCTCTGTCTAACACAAGCTAGAAGTTGGTGCCTTCTCTAGCTGGTGCAACCTGGAACATTTTGCTGACAAGTAAGTTTCCATTCTGCTGAGAACAGGTGCTGTTTTGGGTTAAGCTGGTTTAAGCAAGAATGAACTGGTCCTGTAATCTTTCTCCCAAGGTCATGTTGCCTTTTAGTAACAGGCCAGAGGGAGCCTGGTTTAATTCTCTCTTTTTCTTTCTTGGTTCTCCCTCTGCTTTGTTTCTGTGTGTTTTTTCTCATTTGAGTGGTGATTTGTATGTGGTATATTTAACTTAATTCGGCATACAATGGACACTGGCGAATGCAAGGCCTTTCTTCCTCCCAGAGTCGTGGACCAAGAGGGAGCAGGATTTAGCCCTCCTGGGAAAATCTGTGTTCTGCAGAGAAAGTGAGGATTACGCAAAGGCACTACTAACCACTGTAAAGCCCAAAAGGATTGCGCCTTGTAGCATCCTCAAGCAGCCTCTCTGCCGCCTGGATCGCTCCTTAAAGGAGTGGAGAAGATCGGTGACATTGAGGTGAGGATGCTAAGGAGCCATTTTCTGTCTCTGCGGAACGAAGCCTCAAGCTCCCCTGGGATTCAGTCAATCAAAAAGAAACCTGAATCGAAATCTCAATACAGGTCTGTAATTTAATTTGGATGATTTGGAGGGCAGCAGGGTGAAAATAAGGAGGTCAACCCCAACTGTGGCACAATTTAAAAGTGCATGACTTTCTGGAAAAAATGTGTTGTTTTTTCAAGTGGACCTTCCTGCAGCAGGATTTATAATTTGAAATATTACAATTGCCCCCCCCCCCCGCTTATTTGCTATATGAACTACTGAGGGGTGGGGTTAGAAATGCTCCCCCCAGCTTGGCTCCATACGTCTATTTCCCCTCTTTTGGGACTCTCTGATCGGCTGGGGAAGAGTTTTCAGACTGTTACATTGTTTTTGTTTCTTTCTCTTCTATAATTTTTCGCAGACTAAGGCAACATTTTAAATTACTCTGCTGCATTTTGTAACAAAAGAGAGTGTCATATTATTATTATTATTTTACTGAGCCTACAAACTATCTGAAGAGAGGGGTGTTGTGTGAGGAGAACCTGAGTTTACAGGGTTAAACAGCTCAGTGTGTGCGTCCTGCCTTTTGAGGGGGTGGAGAGATCCTGTGTCACACATCTGGGATCTGCTTTCTTTGCTCTGTTATTCTGGTTTCGTTTTTGTCCAGAGCAGACATGTCTTTCTTTCTGCCCAATACTGGATGATTTATGCTGATGTAATAAATGCTTCTAGCTTAGAGAAGCTGCGTGGACTCTTCATTTATGCACACTAATGGCACGCACAGAGGACAGAAGGCTAAAAGGCTTTATACGCTGTGTTTTGCTCTGCCAAGCTCAGAGGTCCGGGAAAGCAGTGTGCGCAACGGAAGCCTGCAGGACCTGTCCCCTGAGCAATATTTCACAGGTTTGTGGCAGGAAAGTCATGCTGTAAAGGCAAGGAAGCTTTCCATGTCTGTGCTGTGTCTGTGTGCTCTGAGATCCTGCCTGCTGCTGTGCTGAGAGCAGAGGCAGTTTGAGCTCTCTGGTGAAAGGAGAAGCCGGCTGAAGCTGCTGCGAAGCTGTGTGCTTGGAGCACACAGAGAGAGCTGGCAAGGAAGAAGCTGGAGGTCTCTCCTTGGAAGACAGCTGGCACGCATGAGTACTGAGCCCCGGGGGAGGAGATGGCAGAGCTCCAGGAGACGTTTAACATCCCATTTGAAAGGCTCAATGGGCAGAACTGGGAGTGATGGTCCAGAAGAGCAAGGGATTGTTTTTTGGCCACAGGGCTCTGGCATTGCATGCAAGCCCCACCAATCCAGGCTGCTGCTGAAGCTGCTGCAGCAGACGTGGAGGCTGCTCTGAGAAGAGAGCAGAGGGTGCTGTGTATGCTGAGGGAAGCATGGACGCTTTGCTGTTGCTCCACCTTGAGGGTCTGAAGACAGCTCAGGCTGCTTGGCAGGCACTGGAGAGGGTTTGTGTAGCCACAGCGGGAGCTGAGGGATGTGAGAGAGTTGAGGGCCAAGTGGGAGCTGAAGGCCATGTTCCTGAAATCACAGCTAGGAGCTGCTGCTTTGTCTCTGGGAGGCCATGTGATGAAGAGGCTCGTAGACAGAGAGCTGGGGTTCAAGCTACAGGCCAAGGCTGTCCTGCACCCAAGGGTGGGGGTGCAGGGAACACAGGAAGGAGTGGTGGGGAGAGCTTTTGTTTCAAGATGCTGCTACAGATGCGGGTCCCCCTACCATCTCGTGAGAGACTGTCCTGTGGAGGCAACGGAAGGAGGAAAGTTCGTCTCCCGTAGCAACCAGATAAGAAGCAGTACAGTTGCGTCTGCGAAACGTGGTAAGCAGAAACAAAGAGGGACTGGCAGGGATGGCTCAGAACAAAGGCACTTAGCAGCTTCCATGGCAACAGTAAAGGACTGTGAACAGAGCACTGTACTGACCTTTGTGATCAACAGTGGAGCATCGCACCACATTGTGCCATCTTGTCGTCTTTTGTGGAACTGCACCTCTGTAAAATCTGGGAAATCTGTTTGTCTTGCAAATGGAACCAAATGTGCTTTAACTCAGTCTGGCTCACTGTTCTGTGATTTCTTACAGACGGAACTTCAGGCGTATGTCGTCCCCGGATTGTCATGCTGTCTGCTATCTGTTGCCACTCTTGTTTTTGATGGCTACAGAGTGTGTTTTGAGA